TATTATTATTATTATTATTATTATTATTATTATTATTATTATTATTATTAAAATTATTATTATTATTATAACTATTAATTATTCCTATCATTTTTTAGTGGTATGAAAAATCGTTTCGTTCCCAAAATTTGATTGTTTTTGCCTAATTACTACAGTAGAAGTCTGGCGAATAACTTTGGCGTGAAACAATTTTTATCAGTAAATCACTCTTGTTCTTTGAATAATTGAAAAGTTAAAGTTTAATCGAATTTCTTAGCTGGGAAATGTAATTTATAAATGTGAAACGTAATACAAATGTTCCTCGCTGAGTTCTTAGCTTGACTTACAGTTCATATTATACTTTGTAGTCATTTTAGCCTAGTATTATAGATTTAGTTATTATCCTTAAAATTTGAACAAAAATTGTATTTATCACATATAGAATTACATTAGCTAATGGCTTACTAGTGAAGATAAACTTAAATACAGTAATAACTTAAAATGTGAAGCATTGCAATATGTCCGTTTTTTTATGTCATTCAGATTTGTAACTATGAAATATCGTACTCGTATAAATTATGATATATGATATTGGAATTAGACCATTTCCGTTTTAAATTAATGTATAATTCTGATTGTTTTTAAGATTTCTTGTCTAAGTAAGCCTATATATATATGAACTACTTGTTCTAGTCAAACTGATAAATATTATTATAATACCATAGTTATAATAAACAATATTTATATGCTTCGATATAAGAAAGTCATTATAAATCTATTAAAACATTTATAGCGTTTTCAGTGTGATATTCAATTTATATAGACTATACTTCTTTCGGACAGTTGGATATGTACAGTAATAATTTCTATGTATAGTGAAATGTAAAAGTATTTTTTTTAGATGATATAGTGATTAGTATACATTTTTATAATATATTTTATTTAGTAAAATAAAAAAAAATATTTAGTATATTAGAAACTGTTATTACGACACACGCTAGTTTGTTTAGACGTGTTTGTTATTGACTATACTATCATCTAGACCATTAACAGTATTTAAATTCCCGTTAAAGATTTACTAATTGTATTTATTGTTAATTAATTATTATTATTTTACTCGAGTAAAGTCGTAATCCCCAAAAATCGTCTAATCTTAGATAATCAGTATTCTGCTATAGTTAATAAATTATTGTCAATCGACTGTATTATGCGTTAGTGGATTATTAATTGTATGATAATGTGAATATTTTTAGGTATTTTTGTAGCGTCGATAAGATCTTATAATCTCTTTAAGCGTTGTAGAAACGTGAAATTGTCTGTCATGCTACGATTTGTTGTAGTGACTAAATTATTTTATTATTATTAGTATTATTATTAATTATTCAAGAGACCTATCAATTTTTTTTCGCTTTCCCGATGGTTGATAATTTTACGATTAGTCGTTCCCAAGTAGAAGATTAAGCTGTAAACCATGGCACGTTTATTTATTCAGAATATTATTTTCAGTTAATTTATTTCGCCAGATAGCGACGATGACAAACAAATACCGGAACACCCAGATGATTGATTATCTGATTCTCTTGTTCGCACTCCTCTGTTCTGTTACCGATAAATGAGGGGGTGGTAAGCCCTACTCTTCTCCCACACGCTAGGCAGTAAAAAAAATCATCATCAAATCCGTGGTCATGCATTAATGTAACAGTCCGCCAACCTCTGTCAGAAAGCTATATCCAAAAATAATCATAAAAAAATTCTATATCCGTTTCTCTTGAAAAAAATTGCCTAACACACACACACAAACACACATACACACACACATAAACATACACACATACACCTTCTGTATAGAGGAGAATCCAATCGTTCGATGTTCAGTTGATAAATGATAGTTTATACTGGGCCAGAGAAAAAAAAGTAATTGTGATTCTGTGGTTTTATGCATTTTATGGACAGCGAGGAGTGGTGGATATTGCGATTGTTATGGTTTTTATGTGCTCGCGTTCGTTAATGTCCACATTATTGCTAGATAAAGGGTTCCTCCATAAAGCCCCTGTAGGTCTGTTATCCAAATGCCAGTCACATTAAAATATATATATATGTATATAAAATAACACAAAAACAACGACCAACCATCCAACGTGGTGCAGCGAGGAGGGTTGCCTAGAATTGAGCGATGGAAAAGAGAGAGAATGAGAGAGAATAGGACGTGGAAAAAAATACAAAAAAAAAAATTAAAAGAGGGGAGGAACGCAAAAAAAACCAGAGGAGAGAGCTTTAGCAGTCAGATTCGGTTTACTTTATTTCCAGACGTTTTCAAAATTCCACATGACAAAACGTTGGTGATATTGAGTGTATATTTTTATGTAATTATATGGAGCGGGGTCTTAAGTAGGTAATTCTTGCACATAACGGTGGCCTCTGTGAATAATTTTATTGTTTGAAATTTATTTATTTTATACATTCTGATAATTCATAATTATACAAAAAATTCTGCGACGAGAGGTACCTATACGCATCGCTATTACCGTTATACTTCACTAGCCAATAGTTACATGTTTGCTCACATATTTCATTTTCCCCGTCACAAATCATGTATATTAGTGAGTGAGTTTGTGTGTGTGTGTGCGTCCAAGCGTGCATGTATTTGTATATTTATACAAAAATAATATATAACCGTAATAACACGTATGCTAAACGGTCTAAACTAATTGCCCTTACCCCTTCATGACGCCTCGTCAGCACACAGGCTTGCCACGTTGTGTGTTCGTTGACTTTTACATGTACGCACGAGATTGTAACACGTAAAATTAATGAAGTTTATGACTACGTGGAAAAAGTTGAAAAGTCCGATGCAGGATAACATGCATGCGATCGCGTCTACAACAATACAACAAAAATCGCGTAGTGTGTGCGCGCGCGCGCGCGCGAGTAAACTTTTGTTCACGTTCAGTTATATACGGCGCGTTTTAAAGTTTTCTCATTTATTTTCATCCACTTGGAAATCCAGACAACATTAGCCGTGCAAGTTCTGTCGTGTATACTTAATTTTATTAAACGCCTAATAGGTTACAAACACACACACACACAAACACATCATACCCATGCGTTTACATGCGCGTACGGTTGGTTATACTTTTAAAAACCCTTTCGTTGTCGGATGTCCGTTCGACCGTATCCGCGCGGTCCTCCATTATAATCCGGCGAGTCCAACACTGTATGTGCGATTAGTACTCAGCCCCGGACACTCAAGCGGCCGATTCACTTGGCGCACACGATTTATCGTACTGCGACATAATACGTGTTAGAAAAATCGTCCAACTCGAGACAACGTTATCGGGCACGTTTACCGTGATGATGCAGCCGAGAATTTATTTCGCGCCGATCGCGAACGGAACGCGCGAAACGTTTACGCTTCTGGTCTTCAGACTTGTTTTCAAAACGCGGTATACCGTGCTCTTAGGCATGAATTACTTTTCAAAACCGGTTTCACTGACCACTGGCTTATGCGTATCGCACACCGATTACGTTCCAACAAACGTAACGTGCGTCTACCTCGGATAAATCCCGAGCGTTGTTCTTCTTCCACAAATAATATACGAACCGTAACGCGCGACCGTTTGTTTTCTCGAGTAGAGAAATTTTTCGCAAAACAATGCGCCCGTACGCCACCACCGGACCCGGTGATCCTGTCCGAAACAAACGCGAACGTTCCACAGAACTCTAGGACCAAGACGACGGCCGATAAAACACGATATCTTCCGCAGTCCTCCCGGCCGCCGCGAGTTATCGTCATGTGTATATAAACTACTAATAGTCGACGTGCGGGTGGGACCCGGCAAACTTCGAGTCCGGACCCCGGACGACCGTTGGCAATTATTTTCTCTTATGTAATACAATATATTATTACAATAACGACCGCGATGTAAAATGTGCTACGATAATAATAACAATAATAATAATAATAATAATCGATTAATATATCATTAAAACGATTGTTGTTTT